TGTCCTGGGGGGTTCAACCCTTTCAGCAAGTAAAGAAAAGCAATTAGAGGAAACATTTCATCGCGGAGATAAAACAACGTTCGAGAAATATCCTACTGGGCCAGTAAATATATTTTCGTAGATTTTGAGTCGAGAGCTGGGCAGTCGGAAAGATCCTCATCAATGCTAGTATTGCTAAATTGGAGGAGGTTTTTAAAAAGAGCTCTTTGTCCATCTAAATCGCTAGCTACTGATGGGAAACTTTAGTTTCGGCACAAAAGCCACTTGAGAATGACAGTTAACCCTGTCATCGATGATAGCGGAGCTCGCAGAGCGTAGCCCCATAATTATACAAAATAGTAGTAACCCATCAAGCCGAAAAAATTTGGATGTATGACCGTTCGACTGTACAAGGTGCTACTTTTTAACATGCGTGGTCAACTGTACCGCGGGCACGCCAATGCCACGGCTTTCTTAAGTAGTCCAGTAGTCAGTGCACTGGGCTCCGAGTCGGACGACCCGGGTTCTAGTCCTGGCCGGGGCAAGGCGTTGTGCCCTTGAGACGTGAGAGAAAAAAAAAATGCGAGCTCCGCTTTTAGGCTTGGCTAAATCTATAAATTATTTCTTTCTCTGTTAATAGTGAGGTCTAGACGCTTTTCCCAAACAAGATATCTGATGATTGTCAGATGTCTACCAAAACTCGTAGTTTGCACGTAAGAAAAATTAACGCGTTGGAGGGCCCATCTAACGGGAAATGGCCACGTAAATAACTAGAATGGAAAAAACTAAACAGCGCGCCTCTGACTTAACGGTTTGGCCACAATCACCAGCTGCCAAGCTCACTTCTATTTGAAAACATACTTCGTAATCGGTATTTTCTTCAGTTTGCTTAACAGTGATAGTGCAAGGCGAAATTATCGAGAACGCGCCATGAGCCGCCTAAATAAATATCTTAAATACAAGGCACATTCCCTGATTTTCTTCAGATCTCCCTAACGAGAAATATTTAAGCATAAATTCCGACAAAAACTCTCTATCTTGGACCTTTTCGACATGTTCCCGCTAAAACTATTACAAAATCGCTTCTCTAGTTAGATTTTAGCTTGGCTGGTAGACTAGGATTGATGGTTAGTCTTAGTGGCTATTCTGGTTTCTACTACTAGCCTTGATGGTGTTTAGACCTCTGATCCATATTGTCCTCGGCGTCTTTATGACGGCATTTCACATATTTCCAAAAAGTACCCGACAGGCAGCTGCCTAGGGGAGTCCTGGGAGCGCAATTTATTGGTCATTATGACATCACAATTGTCACCAACACTGAAAGCGCATTACACGTCACAAAGCAATTAGAGTTACTGCCCCAGATTTTCAAGCATTTCGAGAAATTCTAAGAAGCGTGTAGTATTTTTTTCGGTGTCCCAGTGTGCGGCTCATCGTTGTCGAAATTAAAGGAGTCAAGCAACAGGATTAAATCTTCCTCTGGCACGTATTTCCGAGACGGAAGATGAGAAACTAAATTCTATGACCACCCGAAGGTGGTGCAGATGCGTGGTCTTATTAAGAAAATGCTCGAGG